ATGCCCCCCCACACCATCATGAATACTGGCTTTTGAACTGTGCACTGATAACAAGCTGAGCGGTCTTTAGCCCAGAGATTTCCAAAAAGAATTTCAAATGTTGATTTGTTGGACCACAGGACACTTTCCCACTTCCTCCTTTTTAAAATGAGCTCAGGCCCAGAGAAGGAGGCGGCGTTTCTGGATCCTGTTTATATACGGTTTCTTATTTGCATTTTTGAGTTTTAGCTTGCATTTGTAGATGCAGCGACAAACTGTTTTCACTGACAGTGGTTTTCAGAAGTGTTCCTGAGTCCATGCAGTGATTTCCTCTACAGACTCATGTCTGTTTTTAATACAGTGCTGTGGGCCCAAAGATCACAGCCAACAAATACTGGTTTTTGGCCTTGTCCCTTGCATACAGAGATTTCTCCACATTTTCTGAATCTTTTAATGTTATTATGTACCGTAGATGATGAAAAGCAAAAGTTCTTTGCTATTTTATGTTGAGAAACGTTATTCTTAAATTGCACTAGTTGACCTTCAGTTTCACAGAGTGGCGAACCCCTCCTCATCTTTACTTCAGAAAAACTCAGGCTCTCTGGGATACTCTTTTATACCCAATCATGTTACTGACCTGTTGTCAATCGACCACCAGATGTTTTTTCTAGCATTACACAACAGCCTTTTGTTGTCCCCTGTCCCAACTTTTTTGGAACACAGGCACAGATTTTTCAAAAAACAATAAAATTTCTTGGTTTCTACATTTGATATGAGGTTTTTGTACAATTTAAATCAAATATAGGATTTAAATGATTTCCACATCATTGCATTTTCTTTTTGTTTACATTTTGCCCAGCATCCCAACTTTTTTGGAAATGGGGTTGCTGTAACACAGCAGCTCTGGTAAGGTGGGCCACAGACTAGAGCTTGCCCAAATCCAACGGGACACAACTACTCACATCAGGTTTGGTCATGTTCAGACATTGCTTTGCCTTGGGTCAGCTTTAAATTACACACTGACATTCATTTTCACAGCCTGTCTATCACCTTCAATTGACTCTAGCTTGCATTTACGCTTGCTTTAGTTTTTCTCCCTACTTCCTCATTACTTTCAACAATTTATAATCTGACACACTGAACTTACTTGTATTGTTGCCCCAGAGGTCCACAAAGCCAGCATGAGAACATGTAAATTATATCCAGACTGAAAAGCTTTGGGATGCTGGTAGAAGGCACTGACTGATGAACAAATTCATCAAGTGGAATTTAAAAGTAATTTTGGTTAGGTGATAATAAGGATATTCATTCTGTGTAACAATGATCTGTCAGGGTTGCTGTAATTTAACAAGTACCATCTTTAGGAATGTGGAGTTTTCCACAAGTTTCCGGCTGATTGCGGTTGGGTTGGGACAGAATTCTGTCAAGCTACAGCTGACTTCAGACACATTTTTGTATGTATACAGTTGGGCTCAGACAGAATTTTCTCTCTTTACTCTTGGGTTTCTGATTTTATCAGTCAGGTTCTGACTGAAAAAAGTTAGATTGTAATAGAACTTGTTGGGCTACAGGGAACTTGAGACAGACATTTCTCAGACTACAGTTGAATAAGGACACAATTTTGTCAAACTACGGTCGGACTGAGACAGAATTTTGTTGTGTCACATTCGGGAACTAAATTTTACTGGTCATCAGTAAAGTCCAGACAGAATTTTTTCAGGCTACAACCGAAAAATGTTGCTGTCCTACAGTCAACATCAGAAAGAATTTTGTTGGGCTACGGTTGGGTCGAACTACAGTTTGGGACAGATTTTTTTTTTGGCTACCATCAGGTTGGGACAGAATTTTGTCCAGCAGTCAGGTAGTGAGAGAACTTTACAGTTGGATTTGGACACGAAACCTGTTGCTGTGGGTCAAATCAGACTCATCGGATGATCTTGGGCCATAGTCTGCTTCGGTTCAAAAGTTCAAGCCTGACTGAAGCTCTTCTGGAGACGAAGAGCCAATCTCTGTCCAGCAGCAGACAAAGCAGGACGAAGAGGAGGGTGAGGATACCCCCGTCTCTTTGAATCAGCATCAGAGCTGCTCAGATGGCTGTCTGATGAAGACTAAATGAAGCAGAAAGGCCCATCTGCAGAACTGCACAGCAGAACCCGACACAGCATGGCTACTGCACACAGTCACTCTGGACACTGAGAAACATTAGGTTCAACATTGAAATCACGTGTATTCAAACCAGTAGAATAACAAGAACAACACGTTCCAGATGATGCGGAGTACCATGATATGTTCCACATGAAGGCCTGTCTTCCTCTACCAGCTGCTTGAATTGAATCAATTGTTTATGTCCACACCTATCATTTACATTCAGGCTTAGAGGCGACTCCTTCATCTGACAATGTGACTCATCCTTTTATGACCCCAAGTCTTTCATGACTTAATGTGATGAACTTTCTTCTACAGTTAATGCTGAAAGTTTAAGTCTATAACTAGTTCTAGCTTTAATAAGCAAGATTCCACTTCTATTCATGCAACAGTTGGTAAACACGGCTGTTTTTTGAAGAGCTTTACTGGCAGGTACTCTTTGCACCTGCAAACACTGCTGATCAGATTACTCATCAGATTGAGAGTATCAGCAACAAATCCACAGCCTTGCACTGCAATTAAAAATAGAAACCGTCTCATGGCTGCGCTGTAATTATGTGGTACTAATCTTCAGCTAGTATAAAAGACAAATATGCAGTCTCAAAGACTCTGCTTCTCAGTCTATTCTGCAATAAGCTGTTTACTATAATGTGACTAAACCAAAGGGTGGGAAATAAATACTTTTTAAGGGGCAGTTTTTACCTTTACTGTTTAATATACAGTGGTGTTTTGTACATAAACTGGGACAATTAAAAACCTGCAAAATAACGTTTATTTTACAATTGCTAACTAGCAAATACATTTCAATTGCCGCAGTATGTGATATGTATGTTCATTTTAAGGACGGATGAGCATGTTTATGCTAACAGTTCAAGCAATGTGTGACGTATCGGCTACTTTACTGCTGTGATAGTTACATTTATTTATTACATTCAGAAGGTAATTCATATTGCGTAATTACATGTTATTTTGTAGGCCTGTAATTTATAGGACAGGTTAAATATTTCATTAACACAATGCACCACATGCATGACTGTATACTTTCACTTGAGTACTGGTGCCCTTCAAAGTAAGCAAATGGACAAACCATTGGTGAGTTTTGGTGCCAGCTCAGATAATACAAATGCATTTGCATGGGAAATATTTTGCATTGCACCTATTCAAATGAAGAAAAAGGCAACGCAAATTCTGCTGCAGCAGTGTAGTCAAGAGCGCAAACACTGTTGATTAGCTAAACCTTGCAGCTCAATATCGTAACACTCTATTGCATACCAGAAGAGTACTGCAATAGTGGTGACCACACCCACTCCAAAGCAAAAACAGTGAATAGTAAACGGTTACTGCCCTGCAATCACATGTTGTTGTAAAAGCCATACCAACAGCCAAACCACCTGACAGGAGTATCTGTCATAACAGGTCTCACACAGATGTTTTGAGAATATTTCCTTTGACAGGAGATACCAGTCACACTATTGCAGCCTGTTTCTGTTACAGCCCTGTTTCTTAATGAGTGGTTTCTTAACAAATGGTTCCTGAGGCAATCGCAGAAAGTCCATGGGATCTTGCATGTTCGTCCATTCACAAAACATAGCAGTAGGGTTAAGCAGCGTTAATAAAAAATTCAGTATAAGAGTAGCTTCCAAATATATTACATTATCAGATCATATTTAGGTTTGTGTTATTAATTTAAAGAACGTTATTGTGTTGCATTATTAATTTAATTAACTCATGCTTTTAGATACGCGTTACTCTATGCATTTAATGCATTAAAAATAGCTCATTTTGAAGTAACTGTTTGTGTGATGTCACAAAAACCAACACATTTACATTTTCTGCCAATTCAGCCGTCAGCAGTTTAGCTCCACCCACATATGCTGAAGTTCTAAGAATATTTTAGCCTGGATTGCTTTTTGAATGAGGCACAATCAAAACAGAGGTCATTTAAATATATAAATCCTACAAGCACAGAAGCAAACCAGGCACAAAAAGGGGTGGGAAAACTGTCATGTAAAAAAATCATTTTGACTGTTTTTGGTGGTAAAAGTACACAAAACATTAGCACTGGATGGAAAAAAGCACAACATAAATACATGTAGTATATGGGTCTTTTAGAACCTGATATAGTACATACTGATTGTTTTGTACTATTTATTTAGCTGTTATGTATTTTAAACTGAAGAAATAATCTAAAGTTCCCAGTAAATGACAGAAATTACAGTTATCCACAATTTTGTTTGCTATCAATCTTATCCACCTCACTAAAACTATGAGTTAATACTGCTGTATGGCACCATTACTGCTAGACCGGAACCACCCAACACTACATGACAGACACGAATGCAACACCGCAGGGCGGCACGCAATATTTTAACATTCGGAGCCAAGCGATACTGCTCTTTAATCTCACTGGTGTAACCCAGCAACAATGAGTCACAGAGCAGTGGGAACATCATTAATGCTGTTTGCCTGGGCACAGTTTGAGGAACGCCCATCAAAGTGACTGAGGGAGAGCGCTCAAGTTCAGCACCATATGACCATATGACAAATCTCTCTAGTGAACTGTAGCAGCAAGGCTGATGGAGTCATCCATTAAAAGCGGGTTTTTCCAAACCCAAGACGTAAAAAATGGCAAAATAAGTGTTTTTTTGAAACAAGCTGATGGGGAAAGTATGCAGCCTTAGGCTAGTTGCCATTTTACACATGTGCGAACCCTCTAAAGGGCAGCAGCAATGCACACAAATAAGCGGTGCTGACAGTGTCTCAGCTAACAGAGCAATCATTATCTTTTGAGGCAAGGTTTTGCCCTTCAGCTCTGGGTAATAGAACAAGTTAATCTGAATGATGGATGGGTCAGTGAATACCACAGGTGACCTTACCTTTGGGTAATCCAGCTCGAAGAATGTCTCGAGGTTATTTACTAAGTTTGGGTCCACTCCTTTCAGGGGCTTCAGCAGCGAGACCCCTGCAAGTTTGCTGTATGGCTGCTTATCTGTTGTCTTCTTATTGAGATGCAAGCGGCTGCAAAGAAAGAAAAAACAAGTGCAGTAACATGAATAAAATGCAGGTATTTCAGCAAAATAAGCCACAGTTGCCTAAGCGTTCATAATAATAATACATCATCAAATATCAGTCAAAACTAAACATCCATTCTGATAGAGATAATTGTTTTAAAGCAAATATTTGCAGACACCGATATAACTCCAATATCACTGTACATCCATAAAAAGCCATGGCCAACATAGCTATCCATGTTATTCATTGCTATTGATCAGTGACTGATCAAAACTGCAGCCCAAAACGGTTCTGATGGGCTCACTGGGGAGTTGGGAATGCTGTGAAGAACATGATTAGCATATGTTTTGCTGCTGTTTTGTCTGCAGCTGTAATTGTTAAGCTTCTCAGCCTAATTCTCCTTCTTTTCTCTGCATGACTTTCATGCATTAGCCTCCTCAAAGAATAATCTTTTCAACCGAATGATGAATTGTCTTCTTGGTATCGTTTAGTCTGATGTCATTTTCTTCAGTTTTGACTTTGTTATTTACACTATAAGTCAACTGAAAGCAGCAAGTATCGCGCACAAGGCCATACAGGAATGTGATAAAGGTAGACAGTTTATGAACACTTTAATGGTAAGAACTGAGCTAAAAAATACAATTATAATTAGGGGTGTGGGAAAAATAAAATCGATTCTTTGATGCATCGCGATGCAGACGTGGACGATTCTGAATCGATTCACAAATGTCAAAAATCGATTTTCTAAATATTTAATTTATAACGTAATGTTGACGGAACGCAAAGGGCGGAACTTGGAAGTGCGGAAGTGCAGCGCCCGGACAGTCTGTGATGGCACATAACAAAAACACAACTGGATGAGCGAGAAATCTGACCGGCTCCCTCTGCATTAAAGCCAGGTTAGGTCAGGAGTCACAACCCGAATATTAAGAAGAGCCGTTTTGTCCTTTCAACAAAAATCAAACCACCTTGGGAGCCGCAACATTTAATGTCCAGTATGTCTCAGTATGTGATAATGTCCTAGTATAGACTAAACAATATAAACGAAAACGCGGACTTACTCTGCTCTGCTTTAAGCTTTAGCTATAACCGCTTTCCTCCCATCTCCGCCAGAAAACTTTTCCTCAAAAGTTGAATAGTTTCTTGTAAAATGTCTCTCAGCTTTCGGCTGTTTTACGAGGCTGAAGTCGCTTCTCACTTGCCAGCTTCTTGCTGAACTTTCCCGTTCCACCTTAAATTCTGACTGAGACGCTGAATGTAATTGCGGCACCATTTAAGGTGGAACGGGAAAATTAGACAGAGAAGCGACTTCATCTTCGCAACATTTTAGTTAGTGTTTGACAGTCTCTCGTTGCAGATTTAACGTACCAGGAAACCAAGTGTGCTGCTTATAAATGCAAATAAGTCCATTTGTCTCCAAATGTTTGTCTGTCTTTCTCTTTTCCTTTTTCGTTCGCTACTAGCTCGGCGAAACCTCGTTGCTACGTGACCTGCAGTCTTTGCCCCCCAAGACCAAAACCGAAGTTATAAAATCACTAAAGAATATATAATGTGCTGCGTGGTCATCCATTACCACTGGATCTTATTTCACCATAACAGCGCATTTTATCACAGATGAGTGGCAGCAGCGTCTCCAAACAAGAGCAGTGAATGAGAGCCTTCTAGTTCACTTGCCACACCACTTCCATTTGATTTATTAATAAAAGATATTGGATGTAAATGCATTACAAATACTTTGTTTTAAAACTACTAAGTCATCAGACAGTAAGAAAACAGAAATCATGTATAGAAAAAAAAAGATGCATCGAGATGCATCGATAATCATTTTATAATTGCATTGCAGCCCTCTGTATCGTAATCGAATCGAATCGTGAGGTGCCTAAAGATTCCCACCCCTAATTATAATCATATATCCATTAATAACAATAATAAAATAGAGGCTTTCAACAGTTATGCTACTATCCCCCCCCCCAACTAACTGCTGCATTGCTGTGGTCTAGTGGGGACCTCTGTTACTGATGATTTTCTTCAGACAGAGCAGTTCTCTTTCCCATGTTGAGCATCTGCAATGAGGAAGTGACAAACACGCAACAGTATACCAGTTGGACAGTCTAGCTGTAGCCATTTACTGCACTCAGTATTTTGAAATTTGGGTAAATGGACAATGACTTGCACCACTCAGAGGCAAACTAAAGAATCAGAAGAAAAAAAAAAACAAAAAAAACAAATCACATTCTGCTAATAATGAAATGTAGTACTTAAAATTTCAAAATGAACACAGTGGAAAGGAGGCTGTTTTTAATTAGCTATGCGTCAGTCATGTGATCAGCTCTGCACATCGTTGTGGCATGAGGAATCAGCATGCAGAACTCTTTTCTATGAAAAATCAAACGCATAATCCATAATACAGTCACTGTGTGACTATATTGCCTAAATGTTCACTGTTCTGCATCAGGGCTCATGCTAAACTACGTTAAGATAAATGCTATGCGTGAAATCATAATGACACAGACCCAATCAACTCTTCCTCACTCTTAGACATGCATGCTAGTCCGCTGTTTGGTTCAGATCATAGAGTTCAGAGGTTAACTGGCACTAACTGGACCTTAAAGGGCCCGTATCAACACCCAACACCCATATGGAACACCCAACTATTCTAATTTTTTTTTAAAAAAAAACAGATTTTGATATGGTATGTAAACATTGCTAAACTTTCAAAACATACCATTCAATCCCCAGTCCATATATGAAAATTAAGCCTGCTTTGCATTATTTGTTTTTGTGATGTCATTAAACACCAACACATTTACATACATCGACGTATTTCCCCATCAGCAGTTCCGCCTGCTCATATTGACGTTATACGGAGCGTTTCAGCCTGGACTGTTTTCTGAATAAGCTGAGAAAAATAAATTATGGCTGTTTTTGTACATAAAACTCACACAAATATCATTAGTGAATTAAACACTAAAATCAAAGAAAAACGTAGAATATGGGCCCTACATATTTGTTGTGAATTGAACGTCAGCATATTTTCCATATCGTGACATATTTCCAAGTGAAACACAGTTTCACAAAGGGTCTCAGAGCTAGCTGAGTGTGGGTGGGAGGAATCATCATGTGGTAAAGTGCAGGTGGAACAGTACTGTCCATGAACCTTTACGAACTAACTTAGATTTTCCAATTACCCACACAGAAGAAAGCGTAGTTAAGCAAAACCAAAATAATCCCACAGTTAAGTGAGTAAAAAACACCTGTCTCACAGACGCAAAGTGATCCAACTGGTTGGGTTGCGGATCTAGTTTCATCAAGCCTCCCACGGTTTCGTCCTGAGACTTTTTACAACAGACACAGATGTTCTAGACAAGCATATAAATGCTCCACATATCAAATTGTGGTTCCATTGACTTACATTAAAAGTAAAGTATGTCTTCTCCTGTAAAGGAGACAACAGCGAGATTATATTGTATGTATATATGTGTGTGTGTATATATATATATATATATATATACACATATATATATATATATATATATATATACATATATATACACACACACATATATATATACATATATATATACATATATATACACATATATATACACACACACACAGAAAGGCCCCAAAATTAAACAGATTAAATACTTTTGCTATAGTTTGTATAACAGTACTGCAAATAAATAAATAACTACATGCAGCCTTTTTAATCTCTGTACATCTGTATATCACCACTGTATGTTTCTATGCTTCTGCTGTGTGGAGGGTTCCACTTGATCAGTGGCATTAATATTTAGCATTTATGGAAACCCTTCATCTTTGGAGAAACTGCAGGAAATAAGGCTTTTGGTTTGATGACTGCAGCTGCAGCTGGTCCTATTCAAACCAGAAAAACTGGTGAAACAAATTTAAAAGAAAAAAGAAAAAAGACAAATGGTATCAAAGACATGGGGGGAAATACACAGTCCTGGAGAAGGCATTTTAGAGTTCCTGATTTCAGCTCCCCACCCCTCTTTCCTTTCGTCAGCTCCACATCATTTCCCATCTATTCATTTTTGGCCCAGTGTCCAGGAAGAATCTGGATTCCATCCTGTTTCACTCTGTGGTTCACCAGCACTGTGCAGGAACAGCTGAGGGGCTTCAAGAGCAGCCACATCCGTCAAAGCCAGAGCACACTGACCTAGCAAATGGCAATATTCTAATGTTATCACTTGACTTTAGTTTGGCTGGAAACAGAACTGACCAGCCAAATAAACCAGTGTGAACAATACGGACAGCAATAAACCACTACAAAAGGGTAAATGGGAGGAAAGTCTATAATGTGAATGCCAAGGGACTCCATTCTTCAGTGTAAAAGGTGGCAACATTCTAGAACAGTGTAAACTGTGTTAATATTCTAGAACAGTGTGAATGGAGTTAACATTCTAGATTAGTGTAAATTCGGAGATGGCATTCTAGAAAGGTGTGAACGGGGGATACCATTCTAGAACACTGTGAATGGAAGGAGAACATTCTCAAACAAAATGAATGGGCATAACGTTCTAGAATGTTAAAACAATATGAATGGGGATGTCATTCTAGAACAGTGTGAACAGTGTCTGTTGGGTCAGTGTGCACTGGGCTCTAGACGTGTAGAAAACTCCTATGCAGGTGAATTAGATGCATTTGGTTCCTTCCAAATGTAAGAGTTTGGGCTGAGTGATACAGATCAGTTAAACTCACATTTCATTTGAAAGTACTTGCATGATTATGGCATCTCTTACTTTTTAAAGGCTTCCTAACTTCTACTTCTAGTCCTCTTTCAGAACATTAGAAATACTATGCATGATTTGTTAAGGTTCAGGTAAGTCCACTGTTTCTGTTCTAACTCTGAATTCTCCTTTCATCATCCAAAATCACTTGATTACTGATATAATGAACAGCGACAGCACTAACCATATCTTGATCTACATATTGAGACCGTGATACATTAAAAACACTCTAATGAACACTTGATGTGGTTAAAG